AAGACAGTAATAAAGCAGTGAGACTTCTGCAGCTGGAAAACAGGTGGGAGGCTGGTGACTAAAACAGCAGATCCCAGAGACTGGGTCATAAACCAAATACCGAGGAACCTGCAAACCCACATGTGTCACCCGGAGACCACGCCAAGGGTGCAGGAATGAGTAGCACCAGATTACCCTGAAGCAAAAGTGAAAGGGTGGGGTGGGATATTAAAATAGGGAAAGTTGGGCCCCGGATTTAGCTCAATGGTTCCACCACCTGCCTCGGAAGCGTAAGGACCTGAGTTCGATCCCCAGTACAAAAAAAAAAAGGGAAAGTTGAAAAATTTGCATAAGGTTTAGTTAAATTTCTCCATCTCCTGCCCAGCTCAAAGAGGCAGGAAATGTCGCAACTTCACTCTAGGAAAAAAGAATCCAAAGGGTCAAAGCCATATTAGTTCTGCAACTTATAAGAAGAGAAAAGAAACACCAGAGGAACGTAGGTACAAGGTTTTTGGGGCCCAGGCGTGAAGTGCCAAGCATCACTTCTATTCCTACTCCGTTATTCATGTGGGTGTATCTAGGCACAAGAGGCCCCTCAGTGGGCTCTCACTGGGCAGCCACTTACCTAACTTGCCTACCATCAGGTAAAAGGAGGTGAGTTTTGGTCAGACCACAAAGGCATCTGATCAGATACCAGCAACAGAAGGGCTGTTGTCTTCCTTTCTTTACCTAATCTACACATCGTAATCACTGCTAATGGGGGACATTTAGTAGGCTTTGAATTTATTGCTGTTTAAAACAATGCTATGAAGAACCTCTCTCTCCCTCTGTGTGTGTGTGTGTGTGTGTGTGTGTGTGTGTGTGTGTGTGTGTTTCAGTCCACTGGTCACTGTGGAGACCATCCACATTAGTGTGAATAACTCCCCACTAATGCAACCACTGGATTAAAGGGAACATGCACTCTGTGTAAGGTCTTTGATCACCCCCAGTAAACCCCTTTCAGTGAGGTTGTATGAATTTACATAATTCCACATCAGTGTAGTGGAGTATTAGAAATCTTTTAGTTCTTTCACAGGAATTTCTCATCCTAAAGTCTTTCACAAGACAAGTAAACAAATAAGTGAAGACTTTGGCTTAATAATGAGTGATAACAATTTGTCCTATTCATGTAATAAGTGGCCCTAGGGCAGGGGCATGAGAGGAAACACTAAACTAAAATACTAGAATACTAAAATACTAGACCCAGAATCACTATACTCACTAACCACTTCTGGTAGCAATAAGCTGTGTGACATAGGTAAATCGCTCAACCTCTCTGGGCTTCAATGTCTTTGTCCTTACAAAAATAGAAAATAGGATTAAATTTATTGAGTTATTTTGCCATGAAGTATCAGAGACCTTAATGATAACATATTCTGTAATTTTTGGTCAAGTCAAAAATACTACCCTAAAGATGGAGCCATGCATGATTGAAACATACAACTCGGAGAGGAATTGTTTCATTTTGTTTCTGTCACCAAAATAATCTTACTGGAAATTGCATTATTAATGATTCTTGTATGCAAGATCACAACTGCTGACTTAAATCCAGATGGATGGCTGTAGCTAATGTAAAATTTTCAGCATCATTTCACTTAAATTCAAAATTCAAATTCAACAAACATGGATTGTGCCAGAAGCTATGCCACATGAAGAATATGAAACAGTGATCCTGTAGTAAAGAAGCTGACAACGTGGTTAAGTCATTTGCTCACAGTAGGTTTTTGATATAGAATAGTTTCATCTCACAATAATGGGACAGAAGCCTAAGACTACGAAATGGTAAAATTAAAGAAAATTTTTCTCAAAAACAAAAGCTATCTCAAAGTTGAAGCTTCATCCGAAGTGTAATAATGATTGCTATCTTCTTGATATTTGATTATGAAATTTTATTTTTTCATAAAATAAAAAAATTTAAAAGGAAGTTACTTGCACATTTTTCTCAATACTTCATATATTTTGCATATTTCATAAGAAATAATTCTTAACATGTGAGTTATACATTGTATGTGTGAATCTGTATTTTACATGTAAAGTCTCACTAACCTCTACTAATCATATTAAAGTTAACTGAACACTTACTAATGCTTGAGTCAGATTTTCCAAATTAACAAAGAAATACGATTGACATCAGAACTGCAACATGTTATAAAATATAATTACTTAATTTTAAAAATTAACTCATATAATTAACTAATACACCAATAATTAAGCAATATGTAATTAAGTAAGTTATAGTCCATGCCACTTAGTCATTTAATCATAAAAGCAAAGCATATTTTTATAAACAAATAAAATAAATATGAAATCTATTAATTAAATTTGTGGTTGGAGCTAGAAATAAACATTAAGAATAAAAATTACCTTTTTCCACAATCTGTGTAATCATAAAACAGGTTTATGATGAAGCACATAATTATTATGTTAGTATAGGGTAGGTGCTATGGTTTCGTTCCTTAGTTGAATAGTGGCTCTGCCACTTCTCAGCTATGATGAGCATCTTAACCTAGCCAAGTTTATTTCTTTATCAGTAAAATAAAGATGATAGTACCTAGTTCTGCAGATTTTTTTTAGCATTAAAAAAGATCACGCATGAATAGTGCTTACTCTTGACACCTGGAAAACCCTAGCATAATTACTATGAGCCAGAGTTGGGAAATGGATAATTTGATATTGAAACAGAATTCTGTGACACTTTGTCCAACCAAACTAGCTAATCTCTGATTGCTCAGGGAAATATAATAATGGTAGCGGGAGTATTATTATTTGGTAAGGGTCGAAAGAATTTTCTCTTCCAGTGATGCCCCTTTTTGTTCAAAAGGATCAGGTATCATTGCTGCTGGATTTCCCATCAGTCCTGCTTGGAAACTACTTCAGTAAATTAGTTCCAAGGCTTCCAACAGAGAACTTATGTAAATGGGTCCTTTGAGAACAGATTACAAAAAAAAGAATAAATACCCTGGCTAATGTAGAGCAAAGAAAATCTGTTGGCAGGACACTAGGAATGTAGGACGTGGTCGGAAGGCTGGAGAGCCAGGCAGGGAACCAGGCAGTAGCAGTGACTGCTCTCTGGGGTAGCCACAGACCCATGAGGAACACCCTCATTGTAGAAGTCACCTGATCAGAGTCATCAATGGTAAGAGGGAGTCTTCTCTCTTCCAAGATCTCTTGACAAGGCATAGGACATGTCCCCATGTCTGTCTGCACAGAGCCAGAAAGAAAAGAAACAGAGAAACTGAATCTGTCCCACTGCAGGACTCTGCCAGGAGGATTCACGTGGGCTCTGGCCCCAGAACACTATGTAGATGGGCACTTTAGAAGTGAAACTGGATCCTGAACAGCTTCAAAACACGGGCTTGTCCCAGTCAAATGCATGAAGAACCTGTTCACTACACTATGGGTTTTAAGTGTTCCCTGAAGGCCCATGTGTTAAAAAATTGGCCCCCAGACCATGGCACTACTGGGAGCTGGTGGAAACTTTAACAGGTGGTCTTTGGGTCTTAGGTCTGTGCCCTCATGGGAATTATAGAACTCCAGCTCCTGCCTGTGTCTCTTTTCTCTTTTTCTGCCATGAGGTGTGTGGTTGTGTTCCACCACATGCACCCATGTGCTGCCTCCCTCAGGCTCAAAAAAATGGGACCAACTAATCATGGACTGAAATATCCAGAACTGTGAGCCAAAATAAACCTTTCCTCTTCATAAGTTTGATTACCTCAGATATCTATTATAGTAATGGAAAGCTAACAAACCATGAAACTTCATGAAGCTTAAATCCAATTCCATAAATGTTACTGGGGAATGCCAGTATAAGGTCCTGCATGAGGAACTTTAGCAATCAGGATACTATGAAGGATTCACATTAAAAGAGGGTACCCCAATCTAGAAGACTGTCATAAACTAGTGGAGTTGCGACATTATTTAGAATTCAATAATATCACATCAGTGAAATGATATTATTTATGAAAGACAGAACACCATGTGAATGCAGTGGGAGAAGTAACAGTAGATGTCTATTAGAAAAGTAGACAAATTTAACAATCAGTTGCAAATAAGACAATCTCTTCTCCCACCAATTTTTCACCAACCTACCAGCTCCCTTCCCTTTTTACAACATCATATTTTAATCACAGCAAAAGTAGACCTTTTAAAAAGTCATTCAAAAGAATATATACCTTCAGTGTATGCTAAACACACACACACACATTCACACACATGTCCCATATTATAGAATTATTCATATATAGTGGTTCTCTTCCAGGTTTAATTGGCAGTGTTCAGGTATTGAACAAAATGAATCTAAAAATGGAAACTTCATTCTAATGAGGCTTGTCTCTGGAGCAGCAATCAAACAGGAATTCAGGGAATGTCCTGACATCAGTATTCAGAGGACTAGTTTGTTTTCTTCTTTTAAATTTTCGTTGCTTAACTTTTCAACGCCAAGACTGTCAAATTTTCAGGACACATTTTATTCACTCAGTTTCCTTTGTCTGCAAAATGAAGCTATCACTGAAATATTTCCAAGGAAATCCCAGTGGAGAGTTTTATAGACAGAGAAATAATTGCGTGGATGGAATGAATTGGCTCTAAGTCTTTATACATGTGGAAAGGCGAGGAATATTCCAGTGACACTGAAGTCAACAGATTTGAAAGCTGAAAGGCAGAGAAACAATGTTGTGATTAATAGTGAAAAAGAAAACCAAACAGGTTTTAGGGAGAGAAAGCAAGTTAAGCCATCTTTTGACAGAAAGGTCTCAAAATTATCTACTTCATATTAAAGGGTCCAAATGATACCAAAGTTTTATGAACTACAGAAATATATACCGTATTCATTTTCTTCACAATGTCTTTTGGTATACAGGATTTGTGTGTGTGTGTGTGTGTGTGTGTGTGTGTGGTACCGGGAATCAAACTCAGGACCTTGAGCTTGCGAGGCAGGGGAGGTGCCATTGAGTTAAATCCCCGGCCCTAGGAATTTTGACTTTTGATGTAAAATTTGTCAGTTTTTAAACTTATTTTTTGTATGTTTTTAAAATGTTTTTACATTATGTCAAAGAAATCTTTGCCAGACCTATAATCTTAAAAGTAGTTTCTTTTTCTTTTATTTCTGGAAGTGGAAAATTTCTGCTTTTACTTTAGGTCCTTAGTTCATCTGGAATCATTGTTGTATGTGGTATAATGTAAGTGCCAAAATTTCCCTTAAATATGTAATTGTTAGAGTCTATTTAGGGAAAAAAGAATCTCCTCTTTGTCTCTGAATTGTTTTGTATCCTTGTTAAAAATTAACTGACTGTATATGTGTATAGGTCCATTTCTATTTCTGGCATCTATCTGTTTCATTGGTTTATTTGTCTAGCTTGACTAAGCCTAAGTACTCTATTTCAGTTCTTTGTATTTTCATATGCATTTTAGAATTAGTACATTGTGTGTGTGTGTGTGTGTGTGTGTGTGTGTGTGCATGAGTGTGTGTGTGTCTGTATGGTACTGGGTGTTGAAACTAGGTCCATCACATTGAGCTACATCCCTAACTCTTTTTAAATTTATTTTATTGTTTTAAATTTTGAGACAGGGTCTTGCTAAGTCTCTAATTTCTGGGATCTAGGCATTTGCCACCATGCCCACCCAGCTAAATTTCCTTTTTAAAAAAATACAGGGCACAACTACTGCAGCCCTAAACAACCTAGATCTGCACTTCTCTGTGAGAGAGAACTGAAAGGTATCTTGTTTAAAGGCCACTTCCACTTTGAATCTCTCACTGGACACCAAACCTAATCCTCACTGATACCAGCTCTGATTAGCTCTGATGGGGCACTTTCCAAGCCAGGAAGGTGTGAGAAGGCACCTGCACTAGAGCCACGAGAACTGACTGTGGGAAGGGCATGCCTCCCCAGGAAAATTCAGGTGCTACAGGCAGAAGACGTTAAGAGGAAGTTCAAAGAGCATAAAGGTAGCAGCTCACCAACATAGGCTCAGAACTAGACTGGAGGTTACACATGTTCTGATTTGTGTTTGATACTCTCTGTTTTTGAAAAGACTCATTTGGTTGAAAATGTGCTTCCTGCTATCAGGTTGCTCATAGACTGAAATACGAACAGTGGCGCCAAGAGTGAAGCAGAAGGGACAGAGCCACACTGTGCTCCCAGAGATCTCAGAGGCCAATCTGCAGAAGAATGCAGCGAGGAGCTCAGCTCCCAGAGAGGCCAATCTGAGCGAGAACAGTGGCACCTGCCTGCGGAGGAAGCCTCCCCAGGTACTCCGTTTTCTTTCTTGCTTTTATTTAACTTGCACTAAAGAACATGGTTAAAAAAATAGGAAGGGGCCATTTTCAGATTGTGGGTACAAGATTGGGGAGTCATTATTGGAAACTTAAGTTTAGAAGCAAGTGTTGACAGAGTGCTTGGTGCCCAATGTTTCCTGCAAATCCAGGTGAAGTTTTGAAAACCGGATGTGGCAGGTCTGGGAAGCCAAACCCAGATCGGGCTCCCAGCTAATGCCTGAGGACTTCCATGAGCACTGTGCTTCCAATGTACTGTTGAGAGATGACTCAAGTGATCCAGTTGGCAGAAGATGGAAATTCCTTGGAAACGCCTTCCAGCCTGGGCTGAACTCGGCTCTGAGCCAGCTGTCTGCTCCTCACAGTGCACAGCTAGTCGAAGGGCTGCCTCAGAAGGTGCTTGGCACCCTCTCAGATAGATGCTTGGCTCTGGTGTTCTGAGGATTATCCCCAGTTCTTCCTTTTCTCATTGCTTAGTCCATCAAATCGCAGTCTGAGTAATGCCTTCCCAAGTGTGTGTTAGAGCCAGAAGAAAACTTGAGATTTTGTCTTGCTTCTTTCTATGATAATTTTGGGGGATTGCTGGAGATTGAACTCAAAATCTTGTACATCCTAAGCAAGTATTCTATGACTGAGCCACAACCAAATGTACTGAACCTCTAAAAAGTGAAATGGGAAGACCAAGGAAGGATTTCGAGTGTTAAAGTAAATGAAGGGCCTGATCTTACATTTGATGTAGAGCAATTAAGCTGGAGTATTATCATCAACCTGATGGTACTCTCTTAATTAAGAACTTGTCTATGTGCTGTGCCAGCCAGCATATGGATGGAATTAAATGAACAAGGACCCTGGATTCAGATGTACAATACCATGTGAGTTACTTTAGGTCAACAGCAATGAGTATTTCTAGTTGGCTTCATCCAAGTTTCCTTCATCTCTCAGATGCAGGCAGACCCATGAGCACCGTGGTAGCCAAATCAGAGTCCCAAGCGCAAGAGGGCATCTGGACCTGAAGACCAGGTCAGGGCTCATTGGGGAGATGAGACAACTTTATCCACTTCTGCTGCCTCTCAGCTTCCACCTGACCTGTATCAACAAGAGACACAACATGCTGCCCTTACAACCTGCCCTTTCTTTATAAGCTCTGTCAAGTTCATGACTGCTAGCAGGAGTCAAAAGACTATAGAATGTTATTTTGTACTCCATCTTTCTTTCCCTTGTTTTATTTGATGCTAACTTATTTTATTTGGTAATATAATTTGCATTTTTAATCATTTTGAATCCTTTATGGAGCAAGGTACAGTGTGATTCATCTTATATATCAATTAATATAATTATTATGTGTGTATTTGTGGTGGTACCACAAAGAGTGAAGAGGCTTTGGAATCCTAACATGCTTTATGGAGTCTCTGTTCTGCCTCTCAGTTCCTGCAAGACCTAGCATAAGAAATTTTACCTCCTCAAGATTCAGTTTCTTCACCTGTGAGTTAAGAAAGAGACTATATCTTCATAGGTCAGGGGACTAAGCAATCTCCCCAAATGTACCATTTGCTACATCTGTTCGTAAAGCAGTTCAATGGTGAGGCATTTAAGGGTGATTTTGTCTTCTCAGTAGCATGGGCGTGTTCTGCCAAGTCAACCAGGCTGACTCCAACCACATCAATGCTCCACCAATTTCCCGACCCAAAGCCAAAGCACAAGCTACTGTCATCCCAAGGTTTCATGCTGATGCAAGGTTGGAAGGATAGGGGAGAGCAGGAGAAGGAAGAGTCAGAAAGCCCCATGAAATGGATCCTCAGGTGGGTTCCTAGTCATCACTGAGCCAGCAGGAGCAGTATGTGACTGCTTCCCATTCACATGTGCACTGGCCAGAGGAGCCTCAGCATCCCCTGGGAAACTGTAAAAGTGTAACTCAGAATCTCTTGCTGTGTATCCCAAGAGTTCTTTAGGTACCAAGATCTCCAGGTGATTCTTATGTACACAAAAGTTTTAGAAGCTCTGCTGTAGCATACAGATGCTAGAAGTTACCTTTAGGTCCCATTAGCCAGTCTAGACAAAACCAGCAAGAACCCAGGGTTATTCATTTGGAATGACAATGGGATTTTTATATGGCTATTGGCCCATCTCAAAATACTAAATTTCCAGTTTAGCTTATAAAATCCAACACTATGGCAAAACAGTATCTGCCTTGCCACATTCAGCAAAAGTCCAATAGAAGCGCCCTGGCCTGCACCCTCCAGTCTGCGATGGTCCTCTCCAGTTCCACGCCCATCATGTTATCAGAGTCACTCACCTCCGTCGCTGCCTGGCTGCTGTGGGCCATTTGGCTTGGCAACTCCTGATCCAGCTCTGCTCCTCCACCCCTATCCAGAAATACAAACTTAGGATCAGAAGGCTTAAGCAAACTCTACTAGAAAGTTAGGAATCAAATATGTACTGTGTTATAAACATGATTGCTATTATCACGGTATCTTTTGTTAAAAGCAAAAGTCAGGGCCGGGGATATAGCTCAGTGGTTCTGCCACCTGCCTCACAAGCACAAGGTCCCAAGTTCAATCCCCAGTACCAAAAACAAATTAAAAAAATAAAAATAAAAATAAAGGAAAAGTCACTTGAACCGTAATGCTAGCTTTGTGTGGGACACTTTCTACACTGTGGTTTTGCATCTTTTTCCCTTGCACTGTCCTTTATGTGCATTTTCTGCTTCCCACATCAGAATGTTGCTTGGAGAAGGGAGACTGTGATTTTCTGGGTTTCAGAGGGGACAACTAGATTTCATCTTGACATTTCACAGCCGAAGTGTCTCATTTCTAACAAGTACTAGAAACTATGCTTGTGAATGGCACACTCATTTCTTGGAAGCATTCGCACATCTCCACCCGATTGTCTCATGAACGTTCTTTAAATAATTTGGTTTTTGAACTGAGTTCCATTATGGTCATGACCTTTGGGAGATAATAATAAGATTCATCCTTCATTGAAACCATATTTGATGCAGACACAGAGCTAGAAACTTTGGATACCTTATCTCATATTCTGAACAAGCCAGAAAAGTGGATTTTATTTTTTAAATGGCAATGCTTGAACTGAGATCATGTTAATAAAAGATATGCTAGGCTAGCAAATTGGTGGCTAAGTCTGGGCACAGCATATTTTAATAGAATCCTCTGATCTAGACCACTGTATTTCCTGGATTATAGTTAATAAACAGATCTTTGCTTAATTTTGCTTTGCCCCGTCCTCATATCTGATTGGTTGGAAGAGAAACTTTACAAGGTGGCAGCAATGACCTCCCTCAGACCAGTGCTCACTCCATTGCATGCACTTGCTGTAAATGTAAGGAGTTGGTAGGTTGACTTGTTAGGCCTTAAGCACAAGACAGAATTGGGGAAAAAACAACTGAGTATGATTTTGTGAGGAGCCTTCACGAGGCAATGAGTGACAGACCTGAACATGAGTTTGGACTACTGAAATGTGTGTTGTTGAGAAAGAGAGGGGGAAAGAGAGAAAGAGAGAGAAGGAGGAGGAGGAGAAGGAAGGAAGAAAGGAAGGAAGGAAGGGTGGGCCTGGGTGTTTGGTTTCTTTTGGTTCGGGTATGGTTTCTTTTTTAATGACGCCCCATAATTGTACATGTTTATAGGGTACAGTGTGATACTTTAGTACAGAAATTCAATGAATATGGTTTGGTTTTTGCTTATCCATGGATTACTTATCCATCTTCATTTCAAAATATTAGTAAGTAAATAAATATTTACTTTGTGGAATTATAGCCTACAATTCCAGTGAATACACCCCAAAAGAAAGACTAAGAACTCCAAATTTGTCCAGTGTGCTAGGCTAATGTTTGTCTTCTTCCATCTAATCACATACAAGGTCATTCACCCCAGGAGCCCTTTGGTGCTCCCGGTGTGTATTTGGGGTGGTATGTATCTTTGTCAATATAGGGAAACAGAAATAAATGTCAGAGACTTCAGATTTCTGCTAGGATTTATTTTTTTGATAGTCTGCCTTTTGAGACCATAATCTTTAAATGCATTTGTAAGATGTGACTTTTATGCTACTTAACAGAATCAAACCAAATGTGATAAACGTTTGCATTATAAGCTAGATACCCTGTGTGTGCAATTCTATCAGATGGCTAGCCGTTTTATATAATACTCAAAAGAAATTTAAATGTGAAGTACAGTTTGTGTTTTTATTTTTAAATGGCTGGTATAAATTGATTCCTTTTTAATTGAAAGTTATGTGGTTTGATTATAAAACCTCAATAATAAAAACAGTCATTTTGCAATCCCTTGATCTATTTCATGTTTTGCCACACTGCAAATATTAAATTAATTCACCTTCTAATAAAAATAATTCCTAATGTTGGTAAAATACTGATAAGTAGAGAGAAGCTTTATTAAGATCATCAGTATTAAAACTAAATCCTTTTTACTCATTATAGGAGATACAGTCAATTTAATTAATGCACATTAATCCCTAGTTGACATTAAATTCATCTAAAAACCTACATTCATATAGATTATTAACACCAAGGCATAAAAATATTTAAAATGATTAATATATAGAAGAAACACATTTCTGGAGATTCAAGTGATGAGAGTGATTATATTATTAAATAGTCTATAGATGAACTAATCATCGGAGGGTATTTTTTTAGTTTACTAAATATATTTAATTTAGAAAAAAGTAGTGATCAGAAAAGTATCTTTTCTAAGAAACAAGTTAGAAAATTTACTACATAATTGATTTAGAGTTGATCTTTCTTTCTAAATTAACTTGGAGTCATCATGGTATATAAATGGTGAGCTACAAATTATATTTATATAATGGCAATTCTTATTTGAGAGATTATTTTAATTTGTGAAACTTTTAATTTTTTTCCTTTACCTTGTCTAGAAGATGGAAATTTTTATCAAGCAATAAAAGATTCACCCCTAGCATTTTTAAAAAACATAAGTTGTGTTATTTTACAGCATGTTTGCGTGTGAACTTATTTTAATTGGATTTTGAGAACATAAGAGCCTTGTAACATACCAGGTGGTATATTTTTTCTCTGGCTTTTTTCAATCTGTTTTCCAGCTACAGGTCAGTTTACAAAGAAAGACACCAGGTACTTCAGCACTGATTTCAAATCATGCACTTATCCCGAGCACATGCAGCAGATTGGCCTTACAAATGTGCAACTTTATCTCATGAGCTCCTTTATAGGGGCCCTCAAATCTTCCACCAGGGCAATACAAGCCAAGCAAAATAACTTTCTTTCCAATGTACATTAACTTAAAGAACTTACCTTTCACAGTAAGTAACAACGAGAAATAGCCTTGTATTTCAGCCAGCTTTTCAATTTAACGATAAGCTTTAGAGCTAATTAATTTAATAGACTACAAGAAGCCAATTTTCTTTATTTACCTTTTTTTGTCTTGATAAACATTAGTGTGCTTGAATGGACACCTCTATTTTCCTTGGAGTTTTAAAGTTTCCTTTTATGTGTGTGAAAAATGGCTAAATATGTCAGGGTTTATCAAACAGAGCCGGGGTTTTTTGGCTGGTCCCTTTTGCCTTATCTAGCAAACACTTTACCCTCTCCATCAAAATGGGGCAGAGCAAACACTGCTGTGGGCCGTACACATAACCAGAGCTACCTTGAAACGATCTCCAGACTCTTTAAACTCAGCCAGAAAGCTGATTAGGTCCCAGATCTTTGGGCATTATCTTATTTTTGATAGCTGTGCTATGAAAAGGCAATAAAGAAAAAAAGCTGTCTAATAGGAAAGCAAGTTAAAGTGTCTGCTTACTCAGGAGGTGTACTTCAAAGGAAGGGGGGAGAAAGAACTGTGTAAACTTGTTTAACTATTTGCTAAATCTCAGAAAGGGCCATGTTTTTAAAAAGAATTTATATGTGAGTTAAAATGTTTTTTTAAGTCCAAACAATTCCCATGTAGGAAGCAACAGACCACTGGTATATTTGCCTTTCTGGGGATATCCTAATACCTTTGTTTAGTGCCTTTTAAACAACTTTGAAATTATTATTAGTCTGAATATGAGAAAGTCAAAGACTCGTGCCAGGTCTGTGGAGCAATTGTGAAAGACATCATAGCAAGGTTTGTATATTTCAGTAAAATTCCTTTCACCTTTGTCCAAAAAAGAGAATTAAGGAAAAAGACAGAAAACGCTTAACACCAAAGCTGAGTTTAAACATCTAAAATTCACTTTTCCTATAAAATAGAGGATAGATAGACGATATTTAGGAGGAATATTTCCACACGGGCATGTTCCGTGTGTGAGGCCGAGCACCCTTAACCTCACACGAAGCCCAGCATCTCAGGACTTCACATATTTTGGGGCCCACACCGTGTAGAAACAGTTTGTCTTGCCAAATTCGACACATTGAAAAGGAAAGAAGTAAATAGGAAGTGGAACGCTTGACTGGAAGAGGAGAGGGGAGTGGTTCCAAGGGCAAGGTGAAGGGGAACACGTGTCAGAAAACACCAGCCCCTGTCCAGGCTTGTTTGAAAGAGTAGGTTGGGGGAGGGATATAAACTGAAAACTAGTCATACCTGAGGCTCTGAGAACCTGGCTGGAACAAAAGCAAGTCATACTCTGCATCCGCACTGAGCCCTGAGGCCCGGAGAGAAGAGGAGGGAACCATCCACCATCTTCCACACACTCTGACTTCCTTCAGTGCTGATCTCAGGTTACTCTCCCAAGTGCAAGACACCAGCTCAAAAACAAAAGGAAAGATGTGCCACAATTGAAGTACCACTACTAATATCATTTCCTATTCAAATTGGTTTTGTCTTAATTCTAAATCCCAACATGTGGACTGGAAAAAAGTCAAACCCTGAATATTTTTATTATTCCAACCTATTCACACCCAGACCCTAGTTTTTAATCAATATTCCAACAAGTTATTTGGACATAACTCTTTCTGTTAGAAATAAATTTGGACTTAGGCCACCTAATAGTGCCTGGAATATATGACATGCACAATCTCAAAGGCTATTTTCAACAGAGAAGGTTACAATATCAGTAACATGTTCAATATCATGAACAAAGGATGTTAAAACAGACTGTGAACCCTGGGATTTAGGTCAGTGGTTTCATTGCCTGCTGCGCAAGCGCAAGGACCGAGTTCAATCCCCGACACCAAAAAAACCCAAACAAAAACAACAACAACAACAAAAACAGACTGTGAAGGACTTAGGTATTTAGCATAAGGCAAACTTTAGAAGGAAAATGCAGGCATCCTTACCAAATAGAGTGGCCACAGAGCAAGTGACAGGGTCGCTTGACCTTATGGAGTGCTCTTGTAGAGTTTTTCTGTGATTCAGTGCTCCAACACCTTGGTGGTATTCCCACCTCTTCCTGGAGCCACATGTGAGCATGGCATTTACATAGGAGGCTATTTAGTGTATCTGGGGCTGAGGGACAGGGAGGACAGTGACCACTTTGTCCCTTGGCTGGCAGCTTTGCAATCTGGAAACTGCAGGCTTTTGAGCAGTCTCAATAGGACCAATTCAAGTTCACAGTTTAATTGTTTTAATTATGCCTCATATTTATAGGCTGACCCACAGGAAGAATCCTCAAAGAGTCACTACTCCTTAAGTCAGCCTCAGGAGGGGAACCTGGGAGTATAATGTAAGAATATTATGAACAGCAAGGCTGGGATTCAGCTTTGCTTTTCCATGTGCCTCCTATATATGGGAAAGTCAGTCATCTGAACTTTTGAAAAATGAAAGGAAGCAATGGGGCTCTTTGGTTGTTGTTTAGAAGAGTGAACCTGCTGAGTGCTGGCCTTGGCCCAGAGAATGGAGCACAAATCAAAGTGGGCAAGCCCTTAGCTTATAAACAAGGGGATTCTGAGATGTGTAAGTCTGGTTGCTCTTAGAGTAATGGCCTTATTTACCAAGAAAGAAGGAAAGAAAGCAAGAAAGCAAGAAAAGAAAAGAAAGAAAGAAAGAAAGAGAAAGAAAGAAAGACAACTTAAGTTTTAGAGTCTCATTGCAACAGTGTAGGTAATCATAACAAAAACACTGTTAGTAAGATTAAGACATTAAGTACACATACAGGCTATAAAATAACTGGTGAGTGACTAGGAATGACTACATGCCAAGCTCTACTTTGAGAGTGTCACATGAATTAATTTATGTCATCCTCACAGCAGTTCCTGATGTACTTACTGTTATTTCACAACATGAGAAACCCAGGGACAAAGAAATTAAGTAACTTCCCAAGGGCTGAACAGCTAAGAAATGGCCAAACTTCAAAGAAGTTAATTGGTATGTGGGATACCTGTGAGCATGTATTAAGTATGGTCAAAGTGTCCCCTTAAAAAAAACAGGACCCCATTCAATTTATTTAACTGCCTGGGAAACAGTGAAATTATTTTCCTCATTACTATGGGTAATGTACATAGTAGTCTATTACAGAAACTTGGTAGTGAATGGCTTTAGAAGGTTTACTTACGATGCAAACCTATGATTTTGGAAACATCTTGGAGTAGGACAACAGATCGATTCGCATGGTATCTCAGAACTTCTTTAGCTCATGGGATTAAAATGTATAGAATTAGTTCACCACCAACACTGACCTTTCCTTCACTTTGTTTGGTCTGCCTTAGTTCCCCCAGCTGCCATGGAGCCATAGGTAAATATTTTTTTTGCTAGGTTGTCCTTTCTCTTTCTCTCAATATCTTGCCTATACTTACTTTTGAAAATGGCTGTTTTCTCAGTAGAAAGATGCATCTCCCAGAGTTTGGCAAATATTCTGAGTTTTTGTCATTGATCATCTAAGGATAAATAGTAACATCTAGAGATAAAAAGAGGTGCTGAACACAATTTTATCAGCAAAGAAAGCATGCCATGGGGATCTACCAGATCTATCCCAAACAAGAGACAGTAAGAGAGAGACTTTAGCCACAACGGAAATAGGGCATATGTGACAAAAGAAAATATTAACTGAAATCAGAAATGTGAATCACATGTGGTTGGTGTCTTTAACATCATATTAAAATACACAATCAAACCAAATGATATACTTTAATGAGTAATACCCAAAAATAAGGAAGAAAATTTTAACAATGTTATCATTACCAGCCCTCATTGGGTGTATTTTTTTTTAAATTCCCCTAATATTAAACTAAGAGCTGAAGGGAAAAATACTTTAGATGTGTTGGCTTATGAGGGGAGTGATTATGCACTTAAAATTCCTTTTTAAAATGCTATGAATCCCCACCCTTGACTGTAGGATTATATACTCACATAATTAACCATTTTCGAAATGACCTCCCTATTTGACCCAAAGTGACAAAATAAAATTGATGGACAAAGAGATATACACTGATGCTAAGATGACCTTTCTGAGCTTCAAGCATCTCTAAAAGACAAATGTAAAAACTCCAAGTACAACCATAAAAAATATTTTTGCGGGTAGCAATAGCACAACTTGAAAATATTGCTCTCACACACACAGACATAAAAATATTACCAGCCAGAATGATAGTTATCCAACAAGATGCATAGAAAAACATCCCCCATTTTATCATGGCAAAAACATTTATTAAATAAACATATATTTGTTGACACATAATACATATGTATGTTTTACTAGTTAGCAAAAGAATTGTCACAAAATCTAATAGGAAATAATTTTTTATTGGTCCTGCACTATGTAATCTAACTTAGGTCACAACTTTCAGAATCTTTAGGATGTGCCCATAGCATTGCATTCATTTCCTTAAAAATACACAAATGCTATCAGTGTTTGCACTCTGAACATCTGTTGAAGAAGAAGAAGAAGAAGAAGAAGAAGAAGAAGAAGAAGAAGAAGAAGAAGAAGAAGAAGAAGAAGAAGAAGAAGAAAAGAAGGAAACCTTTCCTCCCCCTTAGAAGTAAGTAAGAAACCAGTCTGCTACCTGCAGGCTTTAGAAACTAAATTCACAAAGCAAACTCAGAAGAGCCGGCATGGGAAAGAACAATTTTGTCTGCCCTTCTACTGCTGGCACACTCCAAACCTGCTGTGGAAAAGAAAAAAGTGAAAGAGGAGAAGGCTACAGAGTTTGACCTCGGCCTCACTGCTGCTCCACCCCTGCACCCCACTGCCCCTCGCAGGAAGTGTTGGTCCAGGCGCAGATTGAAGATGAATCACTTGATCACACTTCAGGGACCTGGGGTAAATAAAGTTTGCATGCCCTGGAATTATTAATTACAAAACCTGAACAATCTGGAGAGGCTTTTAAAATACTTGCAGGTTGCAGGTGGAGGAAGGTTTGTTGGCAGTAGTTGTTCATTGAAATCTCTTACAGGATTTTTTTTTTTTTTAACCTAGTCTGTGATGCAGAACCTGCTGGGCTAAATTATGAACCAAAGGCTTTGGGGTGGGAACAATCAATCACAACACCGGGGTAGTGTGTAATGTACATGCTCTTGTCAGCATGAGCAGGCTGCCCCTGAACACAGCCCCCCAGCAGGTTAAATAAATATGATACTATAGACAAACCCTCAGGTTCACACGACTGCATCAGTCAGCTGTTGATAAAATACAATCTTCCTTTAATACATGCTGAGAAAGTTATTTAACACTTACGAAACCTGTATCCATTTTCTTGTCTTTTTTTTTTAAGTCTTGTTGGAAAGTGTAACTCTTTTAAAGGGCAAGGGGAAGAAGTTGCAAGATCCTGAGGGTAAAGAAGTGGATTTTATGGTGCCAGAGAAACTGAGGCAAAACTATTAAAGGAGGGAGTGCACAAAGGGAAGCGCTAGGAGTGAAGGAACTGCCCAGAGGGTGGGGAGGATGCAGATCACACCTGAAACTGCAATGGCTCTGGCAAAACGTGGATACCTTGCGGAAAACCATTCCTGCCGAGAAACCCCTGGTGCATTTCAATTCCGTTTTTATTTCAGTTCATTTCGGCTCTGTGGTTTGCGTGCGTGTGGAGCGAAGGAGGGAACTACTGTATCCTGGATTAATTTGGAGGAAAAATAACCGGACAGAGAATAATTTAACCGGGGAAGGAGGCTCCCGTGAGTTGAAGAGCGTGGCCCCACAGAGCTCGCGGTAGAAGGGAGCGCCACGACTCCACACTGCGAAACTTGGGGTCGGTAGCGGGGATGGAGGACGCTGCCCTGCGGTAGCTGCGAGGACCTTGGCCCCGTGAGCTGCGTGGCTGTAGAGGAGCTCTCGCCACGTGCAAGCAGCGAAGTCTTTGAGAGGAGCGGGCGGGGGCGGGGGGGACCGTCCTGCTCCCCGGTCCTCTCCCCGCCGCCGGCCGCACGGCTCTGCGCAGCCCGCGGCCTCGGTCCGTCCGGGTGGAGCAGCCACGCGCGGGGAGAACGCGTCCGTCCCGAGGGCGGGAGGACCGCCCCACGCTGACGGCTGTGTCGTACAAGTGCGGGCTAAAGCCGCGTGCAAACCCCAGCTGTCCCGAGCGCCGTCAGGGCGACGCAAACGCGGGCCGAGGCCCGGCGTCGCCTGCCGTTCACAGGCCGATGTTTCTCCGCCTGTTGCAGCAGCTCGCCGGGGCGGCCCAGGTGCTGACGGCCACGCTCGCTCGTCAGTGCGGTGCTTTCCGGGCCTTCCCGGGCTGGACGGAACAGGGCTTAGGACCGTCCGATCTGGGCGCCCCGCTTAGCGCTACGCCTCGCAGACACTGCACCCTCGCCTCAGCCTCAGTTTCCCCAGGGTTCACTCCAGGGCGCAGGCTGAGCTGGCGACTCCAAGGCCTCCCCTGAACGTCCTCAGACTCTCCCGAGAGGCCGGTGCCCTTGGGCCAGGTGGCGACTGACCCGGCCCAGCGCAGGGCGGGGACGGCTGGAGGCAGCTGGGCGGAAACCCCAGCCCGGCCGCCTGGTCCCCTGCCTTGCGCTCACGCCCAACTCTGAGGCGCGCCCTGCGGACAGGAGGCGGGCAGGCTTCAGGGGGTGAGCGAGCGTGGGAGGTTGGAACCCGGCCACCCTACTGGCGCTTTCAAGCCCGAAATTCACCTGGGCTTCCTTAACTCGGCGTTTGGGGTTCTCCCCGCCAAGCCTCCGACTGCAGGGGGCCCGGGCTGCGGGGCTCGGGAGACTCCGGAGCCCTTGTGACCCCAGAAGGCTTTGCGCTTTCAAGAGCTCTTTACCTGAAACTGACACCGGCAAGCGCTCTCCGGGGGCCTGTTGGGCAGATGGAGTGGCAGGGCCAGGCGGGGCCTGTTGGCGAGACACGGGGACATTTGTTATGGGTGACCCGGCGCCTCGGCTTCTGAGCCCACGCCGGCGCGAGGAGACCCGCGCTAATGTAATAAAGCGAAAGCGACAAGAGGAAAGGCCTCTCTCGCCCCAGGGCCGCCACATGCTCACTGGGTTTTACTGTCAGGCCTGGTCGAGGCTGTGGCTTCATTTCATATTCCATTAATATTTACAGCAGCTATTGAATTTCCCATTACAAAGTTCACCATACACACTGCTAATATGAAATTTTAATAGTAGTGTGCACATTATGAAAAGTCCCGCCATTAAAAGGGGAGGAGGCCAGATCCTCGGGAGAAGTCACCCTGCAAAGTTACTGCCACTGAACCGCTTGAAAAGCCCCCCTAGTCGAAAGATGTATTCATTTGCAACTATTATCATAAAGATGTGAAAGAATGGGCACTTTATCAATATTCAAATCAAAAGAGAAGACCGGAATGGAGTAGGTAAAGGGCAGGCTGCTAAATGGGCTTTTCGAAGTTGTGTGTGTGCTGCTTTGCCCTCCCTTACAGAAAATATTCCGTTCTTGCACAGTGCTAGCAGCTTGTGGAGTTGGGCAACAGGCGAGACGTTTCTGGGTTGGGCTGGGTTCTGGCTGCTGTCAGTCCTGGAGGGAGTGTCCCGGGGACAGTCAAGTGGCTGAGGAGAATCCCTTCCCTCCCCTGGCAGCGCCCCTCTGGCCAGCCTTCCACTCCCCTCCAGCCCCAGGCCCCGGAAGTTCCAATCTGTGGCTCTTGGGACCCAGCTTGGCTGAGAAGTGTGAAAGTCACCTGTCTCTTCCCGCCCTGATGTTTTCCTTTTCGGGCTGGGCACCCTGACTTCCTGCAAGTCCTGGAGATGTACTTCCCATTCCACTCAGTGTGCACCGGAGCTAGGAGGGACGAAAAGGGAGGGGGAGAGCAAGAATTTAGCCTGGACACTTGGAAGTCCTCCTGCTCAAAGGTCGACACCAAACGTGGCTCAGAGGGCTGCAAAGCCAGCAGCTTGGAGCAGGCCACACTTAGAGCTGGGGTTGTTTTTCCTTGCTGCTGCTGAGGCTCATGGGGCTGCTCAGGGGAGCCCAAGGGTCTGGCGTGGGGCATGGGGGCCTCCAGCTCCAGGTCCAAGTGCTCCTTTCTGTGCACAGGGGTGAGTGAGAGAATCTTCCTCCACCAAGGGCTGGTAAGCACAGCCAGGAAGTACACACACAGCCACCCGCTCGTCCTGCCCCAGCCCATCAGGACCCTGCCACTGCAGGTGCCCAGGTGCCCCCAGCCTGCTCAGAAGTGTCTGCCCTGCCCATTTTAACTGCTGTGTCATTTAACCTCTTATCCTGGGAGACCCAACTGATCTCTCAAGCTTCTTGCTTTTTGCACTTAACCTTGTCCTACAGTGGCTAGATAAAAATCAAAGGAGAGGTGTACTTTATTTTGTTCAGAGGACGGAATGTGCTGCGATTCTCTAGTTCACACCAAGCTCTCTCATCCTCTGGCCATCTTCCCTTACACCATCCCTTCCCTAATGCGGTTGCCACCGCAGTGTCTTAATAAGCTTCTACTTCTGCAATGAGAGGGCAATTTCTGGATCTTTGAGTTACTTTTCAGCTGCAGGAAAATGACAGAGCCAGAGGTAAAGATGGATGACATTTCCACAGGAAGATCTGGTGTTGTGGGTTTTTTCCCCAAGTTTTTAAAAATTACTACTACTATTATTATTATTATCCCCCCCCTTTTGTGTGTGTGTGTTTTGTTAAAGCCCCTAAATGTGTCATGCTTTGTCACATCCTCTGTGTGTGTTTTTTAGAGAACATTTGAATAAAAGGCTCGATGCCAGGTATTGGTGACACAGGGGGTGGAATTTTCAGCCCTTCCACAAAGAGTTGGCCGCCTCTATTTGCATAAGGTCAGAGTAGTGCTTCTGGTAGAACTTTACCAGCATCTCCGTCTCTTAGCAACACTCTTGCACTCTTGGTCCCTGCATTAAATTGACTGGTCCCTTCCTTTTCTTCCTTTCATTGGGAGGCTTACAATAAAATGTCACCCTTCCAACCTGCGCCTGTCACCCGGTAGGTCATCTGTATCTCCCCCTGCTCCCTCCATTCCCTTCTCCTCCTCCCGTTTCTCTACAGCTCCAATTAGACGATGAGATTATTCATTTGGTGGATTCCCAAAACTGTTTGATTTTATGGTGTTAATTAATATTAATACCCTTTCTCCCTTTGTTATTAATAAAAAGCCCTCATAAACAGAGGCAAGATAAAGAGCAAATTGGCAGCACCTGCCAAACAATGGGCCTGGAGAGGGGTAATAAGGCGAATGAAGATAGAGGAGTGGGCTTCAGGTCGGTCTCTCCACCCATTTAGTTGATATAGGGTTGATCGCAGCGCGAGAGCCCTTGAAGCGCTTGGAATAGGCCAGGCAGCCCCTTGGCTCCGGAATGGGAACCAGCGACAGGATCCCGATGCTGATAGGTAGTGTTAATGGAGGGTCACGTTTGGACAATAGCCTCTATCACTTGCCTCCTGGCTCTTCTGTCAGGTGGAGTCATTTCTGACTACTCCAGCACTCAGATTTAGGATAGATTCAATTATTACCTTCACCTTGGCAACAGGATATACAAATCTACATCCGAGGGATGAAACAATAATAGTCATAGTTCCTATTATTTTATCATGCCCTCCTTTCTTGTTCATTGTAAAAGAAGAGACCTCTAAGTGTTCAATGCATTCCTTCCTATTTTATTCTATCAACAGCTGCCCTGTGACTCAACCTCCCAGGATAATGGTTGCTTAATTAGCATAAAAACTAAAACTTTCGTCTGGATGCCTGAATGATTATTGCTGATTTTTATATTGTATCAGTTGTGCAAAACTGGATGGTCTCTAAAATCTTTCCGAGTGTGTAGAAAATATTTCTTCCCTTGTGACAAGTGTTTGCAACTAAGTGAAAGCAGTTATATCTGAAAGGAATGGGGGAGAGAGGGGGAAAGGAAGTGACCCCTTTATATGCTTCTTGTTCATAAAGTTAAGAATTAATTTAAGGAGAGGTAAACAGATTTAAAATCCTAAGTAGCTCTGCCTGCAGGGAAAAGGGAATCAGAGAGAAGGAGGAATGCTGGTGATTTCTTTCCCTTCTGGCTTCTTGGACAGCGAAACTGATCCCTTAGAAGAATGGTTTGTTTCCTGATACATGTGAACCATACCCTTAAGTGTAGCAAATAGTAAGGTAAAATGCCAGGCTTTTCCCTGATATTTTCCCGACCTCCCATATCTGCTTTCTTTTCTCTTCTTCTGGCTTGCACGCCCTATAATTCTTGCAGTGTATTGCCAGATAAATTTGCAGGTAATGGGGTCTGAGAAAAGCAAGCGGGGTTAAAAGTCAACTAGCGCCTCTTTAATAATTCACGTGTCATATTTCTTCCACTATGTCAGGTTTGCTAAAGAAGATGGACAGGGGCTGACGGGTGGTGACTTGAGTTTATTATTCCAAGTCTCAGAAGGGACAAAAATCATAAAAAGATTTGCCCCTCTTCTCCTCCCAAAGGGGCTAAGGCAGCCTGCACCTTCCTTGGACTGCCTGGTCTCTTCTTTCCTGCCTAATTTTCCAGCATATCTCCCAGATGCAAAAGCACATTCCTGGGGAGTTTTCTGCTTTCATTTCCCCCTCCCTACAAATGTATCCCTTTTCCTCCTTACCAGTATCTTCCTTCCCATACACTTCCAAGTGGCAATTTTGTTCATAGTTTTCCCACAAGTCAGAATACCTCTGCCAGAGCAATTTCACTTACAGATGATGGTTCTTACTTTAACTTTCTTGTAGATGACCTTTCTTCTTTGTACAACTGTTTCTCCAGCAGCATAGCTGTTGACAGCTTCTGGTGTCTTTGACTTAAATCTTTCTCTTCTCTTTCTTTTGGGAAGTGTGTGGGTGAAAGTTTGAAATGTGTGACTTTTTATTTTCTCTCCACAATTTCCTGCTTCCAGGAAGAGGAAAGGACACAGTGCATAAGAGAACAAGAACGTGAAAAATCAAAAAAGTTTTCAGCATATTTGAGTTTGATTCTAGAGGATGAGTTGATGGTATCAGCCTCCAGAGGGGAAAAGAGAAAAAACAAACCGAAATGATGATTGAGTTTTACCTATTGAGACTTTGCTCAAATGTAGAAGTGAACACAGCATTCAAACTACTTTGTGTTTTTCTATTGCTTGTATTACCCTCTTGGATTCTGAAGGATTTCAATTTACACAGAACAAGCTAGGGGAGTAATTTCGTTTACAATTTCTCTCTCCCAATCTTTTCAAGAGAAAAATATTAGAGGAAGGTTTTCTAGCATGAGAGTTAACATTTTTTTCCATGTTCTACTTATGTAATGAAAATGATCCAATAGTTTTGCAAACTTTTGTCCTGATTCTAGGCAAGTAGAAAGCCATTTGAAAAACAGCAATTTTGTATCTGTTTAGTTCTGAATTCAAACAAATAAATTGATCTTTCAGGAGACATAGCTTTATTTTCAAGGTGCCATAATCACTAGAGCTGCATCATTATAGAACAATAAATGATATCTCCCATTCCACTCATTTTGGGACTTCAGTGTTCTGCAAAGTTCCCCTGTATTCTGGGTGTCTTTTCCACTCATTTCTCCCCATGATGTTTGATTTTGACTTTTAAGTTTTTTGCAGAAGTTCCCTTGTACCCAGGTACTCCGAGTACATTTTTCAGGTAGTAAGCACGTCCTTCAGTTTCTATCACAAATTTCAGATGGGGATCTGTTGATATGTCTGATATAAGTTGTTGTGGGTAGATCTGAGAGTTCCTGGAGGAGGAGAAGGTTCATAAAAATCAGGCACAATCCTGACAGGAGGAGACTAAAGAGTTCTGAAAGAAATGCATAATTAAGTACTAGGTCTGAGTTGAGAAAACAGGGTTGGGGAGAATTCCTCAGTTTGGCCAGAGGAGAGGAGGGGGTAAAATGTGTCCAAGATCCCCTCTCCAAGAAATAGTCTATTTGAAACTAACAATTTAAAATTTTTTAAGGTTGTTACATTTTATCCAATTAAACGCAAGCAAGAGCTTGAACAACTTTTCAAACACCGTGCAGGAATCCGTCCTCCTACAAATGGGAAAAACTGATGCCCACTAGCTGCATATTTGCAATTTTATCTGTACCTCTTCTTCCTCAAATACGGAGTCGAGTCAGACCAGATTGTTTGCACATTTGCATAGATTTTTTTTAAGGGAGGGGAATCTGCGGTTTATTTTTAATTATTTACGTAGTGCTGGGAGTATTGCATGCAGAAAACTTTCTAGATTGTCAGCTCGATTGAGCTGAAATCCTTCAAGGAAACGAAATTTGTAGGGAATCTTGCCTTTGAAACTATTAATTCCATCTCAGGTGAGGGGTATGGGGATGGAACTGGGGTACAGGGCTGCCCTACCTCCTTTCCTCCAGAATCTCCCCAGATAACTGTCCTCCCCCTCTAAACTGGCAACCTCGGGCTGCCCCATTCCGGCAATCTGCATTTCCCCTTGGGGGGCTGATTTTGAGGTTCAGGCACTCTCAGCTGACCAGAGAGATCCCGAAGAACTGGGGCTGCCAGGGGACTTCGCAGGGAGCCCCACAGAGTGGGAAAGTCGCAGAAAACAGCAGTCTTGGGAGTGGTTGGATTCTCTCCAGCTTTAACTTAGGTGAGAAGAGGGAAGCTCAGAGAGAAAACAAAACAATTCCAGGAAAATCTAGGGGGAGGTTTGTTTGAGACGGGACCTCGGTTATCTGGGCACTCTTGTTCTCAGAGACCCAGAAAAACGGAGTCTGCGAGGACGGGAAAGGTGGTTTCCTGCCTGCGGGTGACCGAGAACCGCGAGCGCTGGGCGCAGGAGTGGGCCGGCCTCTTCGGGGCCATCATTTCCAGCCCCGCCTGCGACTCGCCCACGAGGGCCGCGGGCGGCCGAGGGCTCCGGGCTGCGCAGGGGGCAGCGCCGCGGGGTCCCCAGGCCTGGCCCGGTCCGGCGCGGCTCCCTCCCGGCCCGGCCACAGATTGCAGCTCCGTCCTCTCACACCTCTCCTCTGAAGCCATCTTCGCTCTGTCTTCCCCACGTCCCCAGCCTTTCTGATTCCACGCGCCGCTCCTCCTTCGGAGTTCTGCGAGTCTCTCTGCAGCTTGTCATAACCTGTAATCAAATGCCCTTTCTGTCGGGAGGGAAAGCCCAGAGGGCGGCCGAGCTATTTTCAGCTGACAGCCGAGAAAGGGAGCCGCGGCGGCCTCCCTTTTGTCTGCCTCGGGGTTTAACTCCTGCGGGGCCGGCTGGGAGCTCGCGCTGGGCCGGGCCGCCGGGAACCAGGCCCCGGAGCCCAGCGGCGCGGCCCGAAGCCGCGGGGCCGGCTGGGGGCGCGTCCTCGCCGCAGCGGAGGCGGAAGGGTCGCGGGCTCCCGGGCGTGCCGACAGCCCTGGGAGCAGGGCGCCCGTTCTCGCTGGGCTCGGAGGCGAGAGGAGCAGGACAGGATGGAGGAAAACAACGACGCTGAGGTCGCCTCGGCCAACATCCCGGGAGCTCCTCAGGCTCGGTTATTAAACTGGTCCAAACTGATTTCCTTAATTGCTCAAACCCATTTTACAATGATTTCCATCAAGTTGGAATCAAAACAAGATTTGTTCACCATCCTCCGGCCCAGCCGCGCAGGTTAAGGGCTAATGAGATCGCGCCTGGTGTCACACGGTGGGAAGGGGCGACCCAGGAAGGGCCCAGGAGGTAGGGGGTCCCCAAGGCCACCCCACCCCTCGAGCAGCCTCAGCCTGGCCCCTCCTGAAATACTCATGGTGTACATTAGAGGACACCTCACCCCTATTTTCTTCTTGCCTGGCCTACCCCCAGGGAAGCCACTTTAGAAAACCCGGTGGGTTCCACAGACTCCAGACTTCTTTTCTTCATTTATCTGCAACAGTTGGTGACAGAAGGAAAGGGGTGGTTGCGATGTCACTTGAAGAGGGTGAGGATCAAGGAGGCAGGTCACTGGGACAAGAGAACCAAACCAGCATGCTTATTGCTGCTTTCTTGACATCCAGTTTTGTTCCTGGGCTATTTGTTTTAAAAGGACCTGGCAGGGTCCTTATGGAGCCGGTGTCCTGTCTCCTCCCGACCGCCAGGTTTCCAGGCCCAATCCAGAACTCTCCTTCCAGGCTCTCCAAACAGAATTGTTCTCATCCAGCCGCTGAGAGGAAAACATCCCACTCTCCTCTTGGCTCCTGGAAGGCCACCCTGCTCTCAGCTCTCAGCGTGTCCCCGGCATGGGCGAGATGGCACCAGCACCTGACTCAGAGGGTCCAGCTTTGCCCCTCCCTCACCCAGCCCTGTCCCACTTCACAGGTCCTGCTCACTTCTCGGTGGCCTCGAAGCTAGCAAAAAGGAAACCTGGAGAAACTGGCCAGCTGACTCTGCAGGTGATTTACTTCTGGACAGTGGGAGCACAAAGTGTCAAAACTGTGACAGAAAAGGGAAAGTAGAAAGATTCCATTTGAGCACACCAGTTACTCGATATTCCTGTACATAGAAGACCATTGTGCTCAGCTTGTTTTTAGAAAAGAAAAAGAAAAGGCACTTGTGTCCTCTATATCAGAAGGCGCTGGTGGGCCATAGTAGGGAGACATTTTATACCTTGGAAAATGAAAACAGCAGAAGTTCTTTATCCCCAAAGAAAATAATAGAGGGGAAAAATTGGAGGAACAGAAAAATGCACTTGTGTGTGAGCAATCAAGTTAGGAATACTGTACTGCATTTTTAATGCAATCCTCCTGTTGCTTTTATTTTATTTCTTAAGGTTGATGTATGAGTCTCAAGAAAGGATCTTAAGGTGGACAAAAAAAACAGTAGTATGTTGCCATCAGTTCAGTGGGTGCCCATGACTGAAGGTGATGATTTCTGTCTCCTGTAAGGTCCAGGGAAGCCAGAATCTTTCTCCCTCGTGAGTCCTACTTCTGTAGAAACCTTGTTCATTTGAAACACTGGTCAGAAATACTTAGGGCATATGTGAGGATCTCGATGATGATAGTTTCCTTCTCCCTGGTTGGCTCATAGATTCTATTCAAAATGAAGCTATTTGGGGACATGTAAAAGCCAGTAAATTTCCTGATGCACAAAAGAAAATGGTGCTTTCTGCCCAGTGCTTATTTCCACTCAGAAGTGAATAATGCCCCAGTTACCACCAGGCCTGACTTGATTTATCTTGGTTAATAGGATTAACGTGTCAGCCTCTCTCAAGAATTTCCAAATGCGTATCCGGAGTGACGCTGACTCACAGGTGTCTTTTTTCCTTTCTGATGGGCATAATGATGCACCTACAAGCAGAGGGCCTTTGTCCAGTGGGAGCAGGCAGACTATCTGTCTCCAGTGAAATAAGGCATTTCAGCCACCTTTGCCAAGACTCCATGCCAGAACCCAGTCACTATAAAATAATTGTGTCACTACCTCACCAGTTCACTGTCCGTGTTTCATTTATCTTTTGACTGTAATTGAATGGTTGAAAAGCAAAAATGTAGACAAATTCCAGCTGTATTGAGATCTGTTTCTTCCTCCGCTACCTCGGCCCATCATTAGATACTTTCCCTCTCTGTGCAGGAGGTCAGAGTTTATAAATATAAATTGCATTTTGCATTACTTCTAGATGAGTGAAGCTGTCAAAGCAATAATATGAGCTTTCAGTCCCACATTCTACCACTTCTTTCCCATTTTTTGGCCAGGAGGTCATGTGCAAATTGAACGTGACAACCCACAAGACATGTCCAACAGACTCATATTGTTACCCAGCTCAGCTGCCTGGCTCATAACAACATTAAACCCACATTAGTCCCCAGCCTCCACCAGGCAGGAGCTCTAAACACAGGACCTAAGCTTCTCAGAAAGTTCATTTCAATGGTACCATTTCATCTAAAAGTAGAAGGCACCACTGACTCAAAATATTTTTCACCCAAGATTCACAAGGACGTCATATTGAAAATGTCAGGGCAGTGTCTAAATAGGACAGAGAACAAAGAACAAGGTAAAGTGTCAAAGAGCCCTCTAACACACACACACACACACACACACAATGGGGCAGGATGTACTTACATATATATATATATATGAATTTTATATATATTTATATATTTTTTTCAAGGATCCAATAGTGATGTGGTTAGAAATAACTTTCACTGTTACTCTGACAATGAGGCCACCTGAAAGTATGGACTGACTTTGTACTCTTATTAGCAAGTTCTTCACAGTGTTATTTTGGAAATCCAATTGTGTGGTTTAAAAAAATCAAATTTTAGCAGCTTATTATCACCATCATTAAATGGTAGTCCTTCTCAAACTACATTGGGAGGGTCAGAAACTTCCATCAGCTTCAAGGGAGCTGAAGGGCTTGGAGGACTGGTAACTGTCTATGGATGTGACCCATTCATGTCTTGCCCAGATTGCAGTTAATGGAGAACTGTTGTTCACTGACAGGGTGTTTGATGGTTTTTAGGAAATGAGTGGCTGTTTTAATTCCTGTTCCAAATGGACAGGTGTCTACATCAGAATTGGCAACCTGGTTGGCAGACTCAAAGAGTGGCCAAGGAGCAAATTGTTTATGGAGAATCAACTTCCCTCCCTCCCAAGATGACTGTGCACACGTGTGAGTGCTGGCATTGTGGGTAGGGGGGGAAGCAGAGATGCTGGAGGCAGAAAGATTGATACAGGTCTGCCGAGCAGAAAGAACCAGAAGCCCTTCGGTTCCAAGTGGTACCATATGCAAGAGCATCTCTTCTGGAGCTCATCTTGGGCTTAATCACTTTGTGCTCCAAGTGCACAAGTGAAAGTTACTTAATCTTCCTTAGCGTCCCCAAATCCATCTCAACAAATAAAGTAAATTAAGCCAAAGGTCTTTTCCACTTTGTTAAATTAGCAGTTTTTAAAGAAGTGTCCTTTTCATCCCTTTGAGGGAACTGAATGTGCTTACATCCTGAACGTGAAGAGTGGTAACTGTAAGAATCACACCTTCGAATTCAAAGCAGGAAGTGTCCCTCTTGCCTTCGGTGGATAGACACATTTTATCACATAAGACCGAAGGGTAACCAGCGGATATATCAAAGTATTTAATTCTCCTTTCACTTTTACACATAATCCTTGCAATCTAGTTATTCATGCTGATTCTTACTTGCTGGGTGTTATTAAAAAGCAATGAATAAGGCATATGTTTAAGGAAAAAACAATTATACTATGCCAGCATCTGATGTCCTTTTATTTTCTAGCCTTGACTTTATTAAATTTGCTGTAAGTTTTAGAAAATGTTAATAGTAGTAATAACAAAACACCCTCTGACTAGGAAACTGAAGCAGGTGTCATTGTTGATAGGGAGATTAACACTGAATTTGGGGCCAATTTTCCAGATATCTGGAGTTATTATGAATGTCTAATTTTTCAAACTTTAAAATTTTGTCAGTCACAGTAAGATTTTATGGCTTTTCTCCTTTGTCTTAACATTTCTCATCTCATCACTAACTTTTTAAATTAACTTTTACTCCACTATATTTCCAGGAATTGAAGTAATGAAAACCAAAGGCGTTCGAGTGAGGCCAGTTCCCGCGCCTCTGTGCAATGTGTTCTCCGACCTTGAATACTGCACGAACTCTCTAGGTCCCAGTTTCTTCACTTGTGAGATGGGGATATTATTAACCCTTAATTTACAAACTCATTTGAAGATTCCTGCAATAGTATATTTTCCACATTTCAGGAACAGAGTAAATTTTCCGAATGAAACAACACTATTGCTGCTTCTGCTGCTGCTGCTGAAGACAATGATGATATTGTGACCTGCTAAATATCAATACCTTCGTCTTCATCTGTGAAACCGAAATGACAATACCCCGTCCCCAGTACTCTGGGGCTGAACCAGGAGCAGCACAAGTTTGAGCCCAGCTGGAGGAACATAGTGATTTACTTAGCAAGGCACTGTTTTAAGATTTAAAAAAAAAAATTAAAAGAAGAGATGGGTATATAGCTCAGTACAAAGGCCTAGGGTCAATCTCTAGTATTGCCAAATTTTAAAAAGGTACAAAGGGTGATAGAAATATTGAAGTTAAGTAAAATGTGTAAAACACTTGGCCTGGTAGTGGAAACAGAGCATGCCTTTGGTAAATGAGAGAAGTATTCAC